CCCCCCCCCCCGCTCCCGCTCGTCGTCACCACCTCCCGCACCTCGGCCAAGCCTCTCCATTCTCTCTTCCCACTTCCCATCTCACCACAGACGTACCCTGATCACTGGTAAACAGTTCAACAGCGCCTGACCGCCGGGCGGCCAGGCCCATGTTGACCATGGCGATGGAGCGTGCCTCAGCCATGGTGGAGGGGCAGCGCAGGTGAGAGAGATAGCCGCGCCTGAGTCTTCCGAGTGGAGTTCGGCCCTTTTTTGCTCTTTGGCTCCCGTCTGCCGTCAACTACTACGTTGGGTGTTTGTTTGTTCCCCACTCGTTGCTTTTTTTTTCTTCTCCCTTCTGCCCTGCCCTGCTCAAACATGTCTGATGTAGAGCGGATTTGAGAGTGGCAGAGGGCAGCAAAGACAGGCACGACGGGCATGGTGGGGAGCGACGGACAACGTGCTTGCGTTGTGGTTCGTGCGCTTTCTTGGTCGTGCGTTCTTGGGAATCGGCTAAGGAGAGGAGAGCAAGGTGGCGACGGCAGACGGCCAACAGCGGGTTGTCATTGAAAAGCTGCAAGGAGGTCAGCAAAGGAAGGTCGATCGTCCGGATTGGTGGCCCAACCCTCGGAGATGAGCTCGCGGAGGAGCGTCGGCGCATTGTCAGGGATGGGGCCCGGCCGCCCGCCGCGGTCGATGACACGGACAATCTGCGGGAGGTCGAGGTCGCCAAACGGGACTTGCCGGACAAGGAGCTCCCACACGCAGATGGCCATAGAGTACACGTCGGCCTTGGCGGTCGTCCGGTCGCCATTCATCACCTCAGGTGCCATATAGTTGTACGTGCCGACCGTCGACTTAATGGTTGCCGCTGTCGCCGAGTGGAAGCGAGCAAGGCCAAAGTCGGCGACCTTGATGTTCCAGTTGGCATCGACGAGCAGGTTCTGGGTCTTGAGGTCGCGATGGATGATGTTGCACGAGTGGAGATACGTCATTCCGCGAAGCGAGTCGATGACGCATCGGAAGATGAGGTCGTCATCAAACTCAGTGTCCGACTCGTGGAGAAGGTCGTAGAGTGAGCCGAGGGCGCAGAACTCTGTCACAATACACAGGTCCGGCACAGACGCCGCCATGAACAGGACCACGTTTGGATGCCTGATCCGCGAGAGAAATGCCACCTCCTGGTGGAACTCGGTTGGGTCGGCGTTGCCGAACAGCTTCTTGATTGCAACCTCGCACCCGTTCCACACGCCCGAGTACACCTCGCCAAACGCGCCGGTCCCGAGCCGCGTGCCCCATGTAATTTCCGAGAGGTCCAGCTCGGTGTACGCCGCCACCGATCCGGCATCAACCTCGGCCTGGATCTTGGCCTCAACCTGTTCGCGCCGGCTCTGTTCCTCGCGGACCTTCTCCTCCGCCCGCTCGCGATCCTCGCGCTCGCGCGCGAGCTGCGCCTCCATCTGCGCCAGCTTCTGCCGCAGGTCCTCCACCGAGTCGCTTGCTGGCGGAGGGCTGGCTGCTGCCGCCGCCGCTGGCACCGGTGGCGGCGGGCCGGGTGGCGGGCGGTTGGCCAGCGTCCGCGACAGCCGCCGCCCGCCACCGCGTCCGCGCCCGCGTCGGGCTGCAATCTTCGACCGCAGCCCTGCAGGCGGCGGCGGCGGCGGTTTGCCGCCTGGCACCTTGGGAGCCGAGGCTGACGAGCCCGACGAGTTGGAGCCACCGCCGCCACTCTCGCCCCCGCGGGGCCGCCACGGCGGTGTGCCACGCCCGCTTGCTGTCGGCGACGGCAGCGGCGCCGCCCGCCCGCCCTTGACCCACGGTGCCTTGGGCGGCGAGCTGCCCGGCGCCGGCGCATTGTTCGCGCCGTTCATTGCCAGCGGCTTGCGGCCTGCATCGGCAGGCGGCGGCGGTGGCTTCTTGCCCGGTTTGGGCCCTCCCGGCACCGGCGGCGGCGCCTTTTTGACGGCTGGCACCGGGAGCGGCTTTGCGGCCGCCGGCCGTCCCGGCGGCGGACGCACAGGCTTCTTGCCCGGCTCCGGCATGCTCGGCAGCGGCTTGGATCCGCCGCCCCGCCCTGGCGGCGGCGGCTTCTTGGTTGGCTTCTTTGGCTCGCCGCCGCCAGGAGGAGGTGGGAGCGGCACTGGCCGGTCGCGCGGGCTCGGCGAGCCACTCGACAACGACTGGACGCGTGCCAGCAGCGCCTCTTACCACCCAGCATTACGATCGTCGGACGCCGGGTCTTGGCCGCCGGGCGGCGAAAGGCGGCGGCCGCTGCCATCGCCCCCTTGCGCGCTGCGGACAGATGCGCCGCGCTGGGCGAGTCCTCCACCACTGGTGTCCCGCCCCGGCTATCATATTCGGACATCGACGTCCGGCGCGCGTTCCTTGCCGCACGAGGTGGTGGCAGCGGCGAAGCCGATCGACCTGGCGCCGTGCCATGCCCGCGTCCGCGCCCGCGCCCGCGCGCGCCGCTGCGGCGGACCGGCGGCTTCCGCGGTTGCAAAATTTGTGCGACTCCGTCTGGTGCCCGCGCCGCAGGCTTCGGCGCCTTGGCAGGCAGCGGTGGCGCCTTGGCCCCACCGCCACCCACAAGCGCCTTCATCGCGTTGCGCGTCCGCTGCGCACCCTTGGCATGCACAAGATCCATGTACTGCGGCCCGAGCCACACGTTGTCTGCAAGTCCAACCTCCTCCAGCTCTGGCAGAGACGCCAGCGCGGCTACCGGCAGCTCGCTCAGCTTGTTGCCCGAGAGCTCAAGCGTGATGAGCGCCCGGCACTTGCCGATGGCGTCCGAGACCGACTCGATGCTGCATGCAGCCCTCCCCCTCCTCGCACCGTGAGTCTCCCAACTACAATTTCTCTCTCACCCTCTTTCCCTCTCTCGCCACGTACGCATTGTTCGCCAAATTGATGTGCTTCAGTGCAGTCAGCGTGGCAATGTCATCGCTGACCTCGCTGAGCGTGTTGCCCGAGAGGTCCAGCGAGAGCAGCGTGGCGCCGACGACCTGCAGCGGCACGTCTGACAGCGCATCAAGCGCATTGCCAGCCAGTGAGAGATGGCGAAGATTGACCAGCGGCGTCAGAATCGACGGCGGGATGCTGAACAGCGAGTTGGACGAGAGGTCCAGCTGGACTACCGACGTAACCTGAGCCAGCAACCGGGGCAAGCCCATAAGTCCGAGCTCTGTCAGCGCCACCTCGGTACTGCCAGTCTCCAGCGCATGCGCCAGAACCTCCTCCACATATGCCTCTACCTCGCTCGCCATAGCGTCCTCCAGTTTGCTTTGCTGAACCAGCTGGTCCGCCTCCCACGTCTCCGGGCGCTTGTCGGCCTTGCGCCCTCGTCCGTCCTCACAGATACACTCGGTGGTCAGCCTACGGGCGTAACCTCGACCTTGCTCCCTTCTCCTCCCTTGCCTGGAGGCCGCAAGTGTGTCGAGTGAGGTGTCCTTCCCATACCCATCTCCTGTACTCTGTAGCTTGGCTCTCTCCCTCTCTCTCTCGCTCCCGCCTCCCCCCTCCTCCCCCACTCTCCCCCGCTCGCTCTCTTGCAAACTCATGGTTGCACCCGAATCGGCACGTGTTGCGGCAGGTTGCGGGTGGGGGGTGGTGGCCAACAAATTGTATTCGTGGCTCGCCCTCCCCCCCCCCCCCCCCCAACGTGCCACTCCTCGAGTTTGACGGCTTTTCTCTGAAGACGCCAGCAGCTCGCCTACCCGACGCTGTAGATTCAAGTGGCTCTGGGTGAGGTCATGTCGCTACAGGAGCTCTTTCCGGGCCTTCCATCTGCGGTACGGAACGTAGGGGTTTTGTGCGAGGGGTTTGGGCAATGTGTGTGTGTGTGCATGTGTGTGTGTGTATGCATGTGTGTGTGTGTATGTATTTGTGTGTGTGTGTGTGTGTGTGTGTGTGTACTCACTGCATGGCGGCGGTGGTGGCGGTCGACGCGACTTGGCGCGTGTGTGCGGCGGGGGGGGGACGTGGACGAATGGACGAGAAGGTGTGTGAGACGCTGCTTCGCGCACATGGGGGGTCTGTGGCTGCTGTGGCCGATCTTGTAGCGCTGGTGGGAGTGGAGGCGATTCTGGAGCAGTTTGCGCCTGTGAATGACGACGAGGGCGGGAGCGGAGGGGTGGCCGAGGCGGTGGCCGAGGCGGTGGCCGAGGTGGGCGACGTGCCGTCGACGCCTGTCGCCGGCCCGCGGCCCGAGGCAGCGGCGTTTACCCCGCTCGACTACGACTCGCTCTCGTCGCCAGCGTCGGTCTCGGCCTCTGCGACGGCGAGTCCTGCGCGATCGCCAATGCGGTCGCCGGGAGAGAGTGGGCGGCTGACCCGGTCGCTCGATGCGATGCTGGCGGATGTAGAGACGCCCGAGCGGAGCGCACGTGCACGCAAGCGGCGCAAGCTGCTTGTTCATGGCTCACCGAGCCGGATCAACCCAGCAGCGCTGGTGTTTCTTGCCGAGACGCTGCACGTTGCCAAACCGCACGAGCACGTCCGTGGTAGCGACGGCCTGGTTGCCGAGCACCGGATGTTTTCGCTTGTGGAGCTGCTCAACATTACGCCATCGACACACGCCTACCGGATGATGGTACTGTATCCACAGCCGGTGGCGGGAAGTGAGGCGCTGGAGATGGTGGAGGCGCGCCGGGGGCTCGCACTGGAGGCCATCGGCCCGATGCGTGGCTACTGGGCCGTCTACTGCGCGGCAAGCGAGCTGGACTTTGTGTGGCGCAAGTTTGTCGACGCCATGGCGCACCGGGGAAAGCTGTCTGTTCCGTTTGCGGTTGTCTCGCCGACGGTCTTTGCCGACGAGGAGGCGCACGCGGCCGCGTTTGTGGTCCCGGTCCCGGCGTCGGGCGGGCTTGCTCAACTCCGGGCGCTCGGCTCGGTGGTTGTCACTCTCACGCCGCAGGACTGTAACACGGTGTACTACCGGTCGTGCACTTGTCCGACGGCGATGGACACGGCGCAAGCACTGTGTGCGCTTGCAGTCGAGGAGGAGAAGCATCTGATCAAGTCATCCTACAAGATGGTCGCTGAGCCTGTTCCCTGCTCGGTGACCACATCGGCGACCTCGTCGCGGGCAAGTTCGCTCTCGCGGACTGGCTCGGCCGGCGACTGCAAGGCCACACTTCGCAAGCTCTCGTTTGAGGCCGCCATCGCCGCCGCCACCAAGCCGCCCACTGCCCACGTCCTCTACGCCATCGACCGATCATCGGGAAAGCCATGGGCAGTCGTCGAGCACGATAGCGATGTTGCTAGCTGCACAAAAGCCAAGCCCGAGGCCGGGCTGGTTGACTCGCTCGAGTTTGTCGTTTCGGCCTTGTGATCCTTGGCCGCGCAGCGCAGCGCATGGTAAAGTCTGCTGATGGCGCGGCAGCCGGTGGAGAGGGGCAGCAGAGTCGGACCGGCTAGCGGGCGGCAAGTCTCAGACAGCGACAGAATAGACTTGTCGCTACAAAGGCGATCAATCGGAGCAATGGATGGCGATCGGAACCTTTCGCTGCCGGTCGGTGGGCCCGAGTCGGCGGGGAGGCAGCCGGCGGTGACGACGTCGCCGTCGGGCGTGATGACAGGTGCGAGTCCGGTCCACGACGACAGCCGGAGTCACTTTTCGCCACCGAGCGAGCATGTCCACGTGGATGTGACCCGTGAGGCATGGGTGAGACGGCCAGAGACTGTGGCGGCTGCTGAGGCGGGCGAGGTGCTGACGGCGGTCAGAAAGTGGCCTTTTCCTGCAGACGGCGGTCACGCGGCTGATCGCGGGGTTGATCGTGGGGCTGATCGCCAGCCGGCTGACCCGCCGCGCGACACGGGGGCGATGGATGAGGCTGAGCGCCTGTGGCGGCGGATGCAGGGCAGAGCGGGCGAAGAAGGCAGCGGGCAGGCGAGCAGCGGGAGAGGGATGGCAGCGCGCAACGTGCTCGCGGTTTTTGTGGCCAAGAAGCAGCTCGGGGTGGCGTGGTACTCGTGGCGCGACGACCGGGTGAGCGTGGGCAGCCGGTACGTGGGCGATGCTTCCGAGTGCGGGGCGGTGCTGGGCATGGTGGTGCGGCAGAGTGACCCAGACGTGGTGCTTAGCTGCGCACAGGGCCTTCCGGGCGAGGTGACGCTCTCGGCGGTGCTGGCCGAGGTGTACGGGACGCCCCGGGCGGCGCTGATGGAGGGCGACGAGGGCGGGGTCAGGGCGCCTGCGGCGACCTTGGTCCGGGCTGGCGAGTTTGGCTACGATGCGGCGTTGCATCGGGTCTCGCTGGTAGAAGTTCGCGGTGAGGGCGCGGTGGTGGTGGAGACGGACAAGGTGGCGCAGATGCGGGCGCTTGGCGGGCTGCTTGGGCACCTGCTCAATATGCAGCCGCGTGGGGCGGCGTCGGTGATGGGCGCGCTGCCGCGGGTGGCGCTCGACAACGACGACAGGCAGAGCGGGAGGAGCGGACACGCATCGCTGACGGTGGCTGCGGTGGTGACGGTGCCCCTGGCGGCAACGATGGTGGTCGACGCGCTTTCGCTGGCGGGCCTGCAGATCTTCGACCGCGAAGCGCATCCGTCGTTGACGGGCGTCGGCTCGTCTAAGGAAGGGCTCTCACTGTTTGGCGTCATGGACTTCACCAAGTCTGGCCCCGGACGGCGCGAGCTCAAGTCCTGGTTCCTCAGCCCAACGATGGACGTGGTCAAGCTCCGCAACCGGCTCAACGCTGTGGCGCTGCTGCGGATGCCGGCGCACGGCGATGTGCTGTCGGAGATGCGCAAGGCGCTAGCGCACATCCGCGACGTGCCGCGGCTGCTTGCGCAGCTCGAAGGGGTGGGCATGGTGCGGGTCTCGGAGTGGCGCGACCTGCTGGCGTCGGCACTGTACGGGGTGCGGCTGGTGCAACTGGTGACGCCGCTGGCGAGCTTTGACGGGACGACGTTTTTCTCTGAAGCCGCGGCAGCGGTCGACGCGGGCGCGCTGGCGGACGCGGCCGAGCTCATCCGGTCGGTCGTCGACTTTGACGGCTCGCTGGACGCAGGCGGGGCCGAGGGTAACGGGCGGGTGGTTGTCCATTGTGGCGTCAACTCGGAGCTTGACGCCATCCGGTCGCAGTACAACGGGCTGCCCGAGTTTCTAACGCGGGTGGCGCAGCAGGAGATGGAGAACGTGCCCGAGGCGCTGGTCTCGTCACTCACCATCACTTACGTGCCGCAGCTCGGGTACATGGTCCTGTTTCCGATCGAGGCTGAGGGCGGGCTGCGGAGTGGCATGCACATCCCGCTTCCCGGCTACGAGTTCCTCTTTGCCACGCAGAGCCACCGGTACTACAAGAACGAAACGACTCGGACGCTCGATGCCGAGGTCGGCGACGTGTACTCGAAAATGCTGGACCTGGAGCGGATGGTGTTCCGGCTGCTGGCGGCCAAGCTGACAGCGGGGGGCAGCGCGATGGCAGCGGCGCTGGGCGCGCTGTCGGCGCATGCGGCGTCGCTCGACTGCGTGGCATCGCTGGCGGTGGCAGCTGGCGAGTTTTCGTTGACGCGGCCAGTGGTGACGCGCGACAATGTGCTGGAGGTCTCTGGTGGGCGCCACATCCTGCAAGAGCTGTGCGTGCCGACATTTGTGGCTAACGATGTAGCGCTTGGCGGGGCGGCGCCGCGAGTCGGCGTTGTCACTGGCGCAAACTACTCGGGCAAGTCGGTGTTCATCAAGCAGGCTGGGCTCATAGTTTACCTTGCGCACATTGGGTCGTTTGTGCCCGCGACGGCGGCGGTGGTGGGGGTGACGGATCGGATCTTTACGCGGCTCATTTCGCGCGAGACGGTGACGCTGGCGCAGTCTGCGTTCATGATCGACCTGCAACAGTTGTCGGTGATGGTGGCGCAGGCGACTTCGCGGTCGCTGCTGCTGCTAGACGAGTTTGGCAAGGGGACCGAGGCGCTCGACGGAGCGGCGCTGGTCGGGGCGTTTGTGGGCTACGTGGCCGGCGGCGGGTGCGGGAGTCCTCCGCCGCGGACCCTGCTCTCGACCCACTTTCACGAGCTGTTTGCCGGCGACGGGGCGCTTCTACCTGCGCCGTCGACCGTCTCGTACCTGCACATGGGAGTGGTGACGAGCGAGACCGGAGATGACGGCACCGAGCTCGTCTTTCTTTACCAGGTCAAGCCTGGGCGGGCTGACGCGTCGTTGGCGCGGGCGTGCGCGGCGCGGGCCGGGATGCCGGACGAGGTGCTGGTACGGGCGGCCGAGTGGACGGCGGCGCTGGAGCGCGGCGAGCTGGAGGAGAAGCTTGCGGCCGACGAGATTCACGCGCAAACGTGGGCATCGCTTGCCGAGCTGCATACAGCGGTCGAGCGGGTCGGCGACGGCGAGCTGAGCGAGACCGAGCTGGGCGAGCTGTACCAGCTGGTGGTCGAGCGGCTCGCGTGAGCTGTTACGACTCGGAGCTTTCGGACGGGGTGAGGAAGGCAGCGATGAGCCTTGCGACGGCGGTGTTGCCTTCTGCAGCGTTGGCGCACTGCGAACAGAGACCCCCGGTCCCGTGGGTGCAGCGGAAACAGTTAGTACACGCGATTTTCGAGCGCTTGGGGCAGCCGGAGCAGGCCGACGGAGCGAGATAGGTGGGTGGAGGCGGAGCGAGGGCGTCGGTGCCATTTGGCAGCGGAAGTGCGGCGCCAGCGGCGAGCGCATCCGGCGACGGATCGGCGAGGAAGATCGAGACAGGGTCGGCGGTCAGAGGCGACGAGCCGCTGACCGATGCAGAGGCGGCGGAACTGGCATTGGTTGGAAGGGCGGAGGACGCCTGTGATGACGACGAGCAAGAGCCAAGAGGGGCAGAAGGGATGGCAGCGGCGTGGTCGTCACTCTCGTCTACATCAGAAGACGATATGACGCGAATCTGCCTTGAGCGACCCGAGGTGCGTGCGGTTGTAGAGCTACATGCGGGGGAGCGGCGTGAGTGGCTCGGCTTGACAGGCAGCTGAGACGAGGAACGAGGCGGAAAGAGAGCGGCGTTGTGCTTGGCGAGAGTGTCGTCGTCAAAAGACTTGAAGCGAGTGTGCATAAAGTGCCATGTCGGAGCACTATCAAAGGTAGCGACGTCGCTTTGAATCTTGGCGCGGGCAGCCTCAAGGCGCTTGCGGGCGGCGGCCTCTAGCTCGGCGAGAACCTTGGCGTCGCGGACAATGCCTCCGCGCTTGTAAGCAGTGACGGAGGCGGACCGCGGCGAGACGACGTCGACGACAGACGCACCATCCTCGTCGACACGACCGAGGTTGGCCACCACAAGAACGGCGGCGAGGTCAAAGGCGGCGTCGAGATCATGGAGCTGGGGCGGGTAGTGGAGGCCGCAGACGTGGCACGAGGCGGCGGCGCGGCTGTGCTTGGGTGTGAGGCAGACCTCGCAAAACTGGTTGGGAGAGAGGTGGGCAACAGCACGGCGGCGCGGTCGCATCTTGATGCGGCAGGCCAGCAAGGTGTCGCGGGCCGGGCCGCTTGAAGGTTCGTCGCTGGCAGTTGAGTCACCTGCGGCAGCCGGCCCACGCCTCAGTGGCGTGGATGAAGTGTCGCGGGAGAGTGCACGGGTGCTCGTTGCGGTGGTTGCGGCCGCCCCGGTGCGGAGGGAGTCGGAGGCGGGCATTGTCGCGGGCTTGGGCGTTGGCTTTGTCTTGGACGACGTGGTGGGCTTTGTCTTGGGCTTTGTCTTGGACTTTGTCTTGGACTTTGCCTTGGACTTTGTCTTGGACTTTGTCTTGGACTTTGTCTTGGACGATGTGGTGGGCTTGGCGCGAGGCGTGGTCTCGGGTGCAGGCTTTGTCTTGGGCATTGTCTTGGACTTTGTCTTGGACTTTGTCTTGGACGATGTGGTGGGCTTGGCGCGAGGCGTGGTCTCGGGTGCAGGCTTTGTCTTGGGCATTGTCTTGGACTTTGTCTTGGACTTTGTCTTGGACGATGTGGTGGGCTTGGCGCGAGGCGTGGTCTCGGGTGCAGGCTTTGTCTTGGGCATTGTCTTGGACTTTGTCTTGGACTTTGTCTTGGACGATGTGGTGGGCTTGGCGCGAGGCGTGGTCTCGGGTGCAGGCTTGGGCGTGAGCTTTGTCTTGGACTTTGTCTTCTTGGGCGTCTTTTTGGCCGATGTCTTGGACTTTGTCTTCTTGTGCGTTTTCCTGGCCGATGATGTCTTGGCCTTTGCCTTGGAGGTGGACACAGGGCTGGTGGCGATGTCCATGTCCTCAACCCCATGCCCAGCCCCAGTTGCGGTACTTGCAGCAGCAGTCCGATGGGATGACAAGAATCCATGTCTGACGTCATCCAGATTGTTGCCCAAGTCCATGTCCACCACATCGTCCTCGTCCGAGTCGAGTATGCCACCAAAGGCAGAGTAGCCGGTCTTGTGCGAAGATGTTGTCCGTGCCGAGCTGTCTGAGGCTGCAGTCCCTGCGGTCATCCACGACGACTTGCCCGACTTGTTGGCACCATACTTCCTCTTTCCTCCCCCCCCTCACCCCCACCCCCCCCCTCACCCTCCCCCCCTCTGCTCCTCCTTCTGTCTGCGGGTGCTTCAGGGGACGACAGGAAAAGGTCGTGGTCAACAGAGGGCGAGTCGGAGGAGTGGTCGAGGTGTTTGGGGTAGGCCTCGAGGGACGACGACGAGGACGAGCTCATACCGTTTCCCTCGTCCCCCCCCTTCCGGGTGGTACTGACAGTGTGACAGTGGGGTGGTGTCCGTGGTGGTGGTGGTGGTGGTGGTGGGTGGCTGTGGTGGGCCGGGGGGGGGGGGGGCGGGGGGCGGATCGCCACGAGCAGCTGGCCAGCAGAGGGAGAGAGGGAGGGGAGGTGGAGGCGGGAGCAGAGGGAGAGAGGGAGGGGAGGTGGAGGCGGGAGGGGAGGTGGAGGCGGGAGGAGGTAACGGCGGTTTACCGCGCTCACATGCGGAAGACGCCAAAGTTGGTGTCCGGAATAGGCGCGTTGAGGGTGGCCGAGAGCGAGAGGCCGAGCATGCGGCGGGTGTCGGCCGGGTTGATGATGCCGTCGTCCCAAAGGCGGGCCGAGGAGTAGTAGGGCATGCCCTCGTGCTCGTACTTCTCGATGATGGGCGCCTTGAAGGCTTCCTCCTCCTCGGCAGACCAGGCGTCGCCGAGCTGGTCGCGCTTGACGGTGGCGAGGACGCCGGCGGCCTGGTCGCCGCCCATGACGGAGATGCGGGCGTTGGGCCACATGTAGAGGAAGCGCGGCGAGTAGGCGCGGCCGCACATGCCGTAGTTGCCAGCGCCAAACGAGCCGCCGACGATGACGGTCATCTTGGGGACCTTGGCGTTGGCGACAGCCATGACGAGCTTGGCGCCATCCTTGGCAATGCCGCGCTCCTCGTAGGCCTTGCCGACCATGAACCCGGTGATGTTTTGCAGGAAGATGAGCGGGATCTTGCGCTGCGAGCAGAGCTCGATAAAGTGGGCGCCCTTGACCGAGGCCTCGGGGAAGAGGATGCCGTTGTTGGCCACAATGCCGACAGGCATGCCGTAGAGATGGCCAAAGCCAGTGACCAGCGTCTCGCCGTACATCGACTTGAACTCGTCAAAGCGCGAGCCGTCGACGACGCGGGCAATGACCTTGCGGATGTCAAACGGCGCGCGGAAGTTGGCCGGCACAATGCCGTCCATCTCCTGGACGTCAAAGGCAGGCTCCTCGACGTCGCACATGCGGAAGGGAAGCGGCGGCGGGACGTGGTTGAGGTTGGCCACAATCTTGCGGCCGATGGCCAGCGCATGCTCGTCGTCGACGGCGTAGTGGTCGGTCACGCCCGAGGTGCGGCAGTGGAGGTCGGCGCCGCCAAGGTCCTCAGCAGTCACCACCTCACCGGTGGCGGCCTTGACCAGCGGCGGGCCACCCAGGAAAATGGTGCCGGTCTTGCGGACAATGACCGACTCGTCAGCCATCGCCGGGACGTACGCGCCACCGGCAGTGCAAGAGCCCATGACGAGCGCGATCTGCGGAATGCCGGCAGCAGACATATTGGCCTGGTTGAAGAAGATACGACCAAAGTGCTCCTTGTCTGGGAAGACCTCGGTTTGGTGCGGCAGGTTCGCGCCACCCGAGTCGACGAGGTAGAGGCACGGGAGCCGGTTCTCGGCCGCAATCTCCTGCGCCCGCAGATGCTTCTTCACCGTGATCGGGTAGTACGTTCCACCCTTGACCGTCGCGTCATTGGCCACAATCATGCACTCGGTCCCGGCCACACGGCCAATGCCGGTCACGATGCCACCAGCAGGCACATGGTCCTTGTAAAGCTCGTGCCCGGCCATCTGCGAGAGCTCCAGAAAGGCCGAGCCCGGATCGATGAGCTTGGAGATGCGATCGCGAACAAAGAGCTTGCCACGGCTGGTGTGGCGCTCCTGCGCCTTGGCACCACCACCAGCTGCCACCTCTGCCGTCTTGTTCTTGAGCTCCTCCACAAGCTCCGCCATCGCCGCCCGGTTCTCTGCAAACTCAGGCGAGTTGGCCTGCACCGCTCCGTCGAGCACTGCATGCAGTGAAAAAGCCACCGCTCGTCAGTCCCGTTGTTTGCCAGGGTGGGGAAGGGAGAGGGGAGAAGGGGAAGGGGAAGGGCAAAGTGGAGGTTGCGTACCATGCAGGTCACTGTCTGCGGTGGTGTGAACAGCAGCAGAAGCAGTCGTGCCAGCAGCCCAGGCCAGACTCGGCTGGGCGAGGGGCGTCAGGGTCGACGACCGGAGGTACGCGCTGGCGCTCCGTGTCGCACTCGTCACAAGCGTCCGGAGCATGTCTAGTTGGAGAGCAGTTGGCTTGGGCGTGGGTGTGGGGGTGTGGGTGGGAGAGGAGAGTGCTGAGGCACAGGTACAAGCAAAGACAGGTGGCTCGAGAGGTGGTCGGTTGGTCGTCACAGTGTGGGAGGGGGAGGGGGGAAGGGGGGGTGACGCAGAGCTGAGCGGACAGTGAGGGGGAGCAGGTTGTCGGTTGAGTTCGGTGACGGTTTTGGCTGAGAGCGACAACAGCGCGACATTTTTTTCGCGGGCGAGAGGGGAGGGGGAAGGGGGGAGGGGGAAGGGGAAAGGAGATGGAAATGATGTGTAGCAGTGGTAGTGGCCGGGAAGGGATGTGGTTGGGGTGTCGGATGCGGCTGGTGATCATGCATGCGGTGGTGGAGATGTGGGTATACGGCGGAGAGGCGCGAGGGTTCGTGAAGCCTCGGTCCAACGGGGTAGAGGCTCGGATTAGAGGGTGGAGACCGAGGAAAAGGAGTCGGAGCTCTCGGATGGCGTCGTGGACGAGATGAGCGAGCACGAGGCATCATCGATTGACTTGGAGGTGGCGAGGGTCATGCCCGAAGTGTGGATGGAGGTCGATGAGAGGTCGGCCTGGGTGAGCGAGCCGAGGAAATCGTCGTCGCCTTCGGGCAGAGCGGCGATGGCGATGGCGTCGGCGTCGATGGAGATGGCTGGTAGGGCTGAAGAATAGGCAGCGGCGGGTTCTGGGGGCGGCTTGACGGCAACTTTGCCTTTGGCGAGGCGACCGTCGTTATCGCCCTCAGCCACGTTGCCATCGAGTGCATCGCCCTCAGCCACGTTGCCATTGAGTGCAGCACCATCGAGTCCGGTGCCATCGAGTGCAGTGCCGTTGAGTTCAGTGGCATTAAGTGCAGTGCCGTTGAGTTCAGTGGCATCGAGTTCAGCGCCATCGAGGGCAGCGTTATCGAGCGCAGCGCCATCGAGCGCAGCGTTATCGAGGGCAGCATCACTAGCCACATCGCCATCGAGTGCAGCGCCAACGAGTGAAACGCCATCGAGTGCAGCGCCATCAAGTGGAGCACCACTAGCCACATCGCCATCGAGTGCAGCACCAACGAGTGAAACGCCATCGAGTGCAGCGCCATCAAGTGGAGCACCACTAGCCACATCGCCATCGAGTGCAGCACCAACGAGTGAAACGCCATCGAGTGCAGCGCCATCAAGTGGAGCATCACTAGCCACATCGCCATCGAGTGCAGCGCCAACGAGTGAAACGCCATCGAGTGCAGCGCCATCAAGTGGAGCACCACTAGCCACATCGCCAACGAGCGCAGCGTTATCGAGGGCAGCACCAGCATGCGTAGCCGCATCGGTGTTGAGCTCACCATGCCCGGCGCCATCATCCACAGAATCACCACAAGTGCCCAACTCAAGGCTCCAGCCAGCCGTGAAAGGAAGCTCGCTCTCGGCCAAGTCGCCGCCGCCACTGGAGCTGCCTCTGCTCCTACTCTCGCTCCTGCTCACAACCTTGCAAGAGCCGTCGCTGCTGGAGCTGCTATGGCTACCGACGACCGGGCCGTCATCAGTGACGGCCTCGAACGTCGAGGACGAGAGCGATTCGCCGAGGATGACGATCTCGTCTGAAAGGGCACCGTCGGGCGAAAGCGGCTCATCGCCGGATGCTGCCGGTGTGCAGGGCGGCGGCAGTTGGCCGGTGTGCGCGCCGCCCAGGGTGGGTGCCAGGCGATCCAAGGTAAACACGCCATCAACCAAGTCAGAGGACGCCTGCGGATGTGCCAGCGCACCCGCCATAACCTCTACCGCTATGCCCGACGCCATCCGCTTGACCCATGCTGGAATCCGGCGAGGCGCCGGCACGTGAGCCCCATGTCGACTTCTTGGCGGCGGCTTGGACACACCCAGATACGGCTCGGTCCGGGGAACCCGCCAGAGGTTAAGCTCACCCGCAGCAGCCGGCGACGCATCCCATCGCGGGAGCATGTCGTGCCGCAGCAACGAGCGTGAGCGCGAGCGCGAGCGCGAGCGAGAGCGCGAGTGTGAGCGCGAGTGTGAGCGCGAGCGCACACCAAGCTGCGTCTGCACTGCTGCACCCGCCACATCATGACCGATTGAGTTGGCATGACGAGCCCTCCGCGCCACGCCATCGGGCGAGTCGGCGATGGGCGGCAGGGCCGGCGGCGGTTGCGAGCGGCGCGAGCGACGAGCAAGCACAGATAACGGCTCTGTAGATGCGGCCGTCCCACGGCGGGTCGACTCTGCCGAGCTCCCTTCGCGGCACGTCCCAGCCGGCCGCTGGCCGATGTATTGCCGAGCTGTGGCGTCTACTGCTGCGGACTGGCAGCCCATGAACATCCCCTCCCCTCCCTCTTGCTGATGCTGCTCCTCCTCCTCCTCCTCCTCCTCCGGCTGCTGCTCCAAGCGGAGCTAGCCGCTGGCCATGAGAGCCGGACCGGACTCGGCCACGCACACCATGCCGCCCGCTGCGCCTAGCTCGTCGGTGAGCTCCTGGTGTGGCCAGCGGACTCGCTCGCTCCATCCCTCGCCAATATGCGCTGCGTGTGCCAGTGGCCAGCAAGCGGTGGTGGTGGTGACCGAGTGTTCTGAGTGTAGAGTGGACTTGGGACTCGTCCGACGTCCGGCCGCTCCTCGCTTTTGCTGTCAAGCCCGCCAGGCCAGGCCACTCTGTCGGAGAGAGGCAAGCGATCAACACACTGGCAGATGAGCCCAATTCCTCACACATCGTCAAATCCTACACATCTTCCTTCTTGTACTCATGGCTACAGAACTGGGGTCATCGACTACCGCGAGTCGTGGACAAAGAGATAGCCGAGGATGTCACCGGCGGACGAAGCGTCGCGGAAGCGGGCGGGGAGGTTGCGGAGTGGATTGCCGGTGGTGTGGAGAATGCGAAGGGTGTCCGCGAGCGCGCCGAGCGACGAGGGAAGGTCATCAAGTGCGTTGTGGGCGACGTCGAGCATCGTCAGCTTGGGCAGCGTTCCAAGCGACGACGGCAGCCGGGTCAGCCGGTTGTTGTGCAGCGCCAGCTCCTTGAGCTCGGTGCAGCCGCCAAGCGACGACGGCAGCGCGTCGAGCTCGTTGTGACTGAGATCAAGCAGCGCAAGCGAGGCCAGTGACGTTAGCTCGGGCGCGAGCGTGGTGAGCGCGTTGTGGTCGGCTATGAGGACGCGCAGCCGCTGCGCCTCGCCAAGGCTCGCCGGAAGCGCGCTGATCGTGTTGTGCGAGAGGCGAAGGACAAGCAGCGAGGGCATATGCAGGAGCGGGACATTCGAGAGCGAGTTGTGGCTCAGATCCAGTCGCTCTAGCTCGGTGCATCGCACAATCGAGTCGGGCACCAGGGTCAGCTGGTTGCGCGACGCGTTGAGCGATACAAGGCTCGTCAGCGAGCCGAGAGCCGACGGGAGCTGGACAAGCCCGTTGTTCGATACGTCGACATGCTGCAAATGGGCATGGTCAAAGATCGAAGAAGCAAGCCGCCCGCCTCTGACCAAGCCAGCAATCGGTAGATTGGCCGAGCCGTCGGCGACGGCCGCCAAGGCGGCGTCGACTGCCGCAGACTCGGGCGGGGCGCTGCTGCTCTCGGCATCCGATGAGAGCCCCTTCGCCACATTCCGCCCAGAGTCGCTTGTCGGCGAGACCAAGCCCCGTGCCTGCGGCAGCTCAACCATGGACGAGTACCGAGCCGTGAGCGGGACAACGTCGTCGTCGTAGTCGTCCGACAAACCGCCAAACGCCGGGGTGCCTGTCGGCAGGTTTGCGACTGGCATCGACGAGTTCAGATCGATGGACGACGAGCGGCCGAGCGGGGTCAGCGCCTTGCGCTTTGATATGGCGGCGTTCCGCGGCATGACTACCGGATCGGCATCAGGAATGTACGCCAGTGTGTTGCGGCGGCCTCCAGGCGCCTGCGCCTTGATCTGAGCTACCGACGGCGCCAGGTTGGAGCCGGCAGGCGAGCCGCGACGGCGGCGGATTCGCTGGGTCGATGGCGAGCGGCGTCGGCCGTCGCGCGACGAGCGGCGGGTGCGGAACTCATCTGACGGCATCGCCCGCAGCGGCTCGGCCTTGAAACCCTTCATCAGGTCGGACAACTCCTCGAGCTGGTCGGCAAGGACCTGGCGCGCGCGCTCGCGCAGGTTTTGGTTGTCGAGCTGCGCGCCAGTCGACTCGTCAATGCCGAGCCGGCGAGCGGCGTCAGTGTCGAGGCCCCAGAAGAGAACGGCGCTTTCGTCAGCGCCATCGTCCGACGACGACTCGGGCGCTGACACCTTGGTTCGTGACTTGGAACGGCCAAGCTTGCGCGACGGCGATGAGGCGAGCGACGCATCGGACCGCTGGCGCGTCGAGCCGATGCCGCGGCTCGCCGACGTCAGCTGCGCGGTGAGGTTGGCCTTGGCCTTGGCGGCGCGAATGGCGTGCTCTGTTGCCTGAGCGAGGTCAATCTCATGGTCTGCCCGCTCCTGCTCGAGCTGGGCGGCGAGTTCGGCGGCGGTGGCCTCGGCGGCGCTCACCCGCGCGTCGGCATCAGTGACACGCGCCGCGAGCTCGGCAAGGGCCTGGTCGCGCGCTGCCTCGGCTGCTGCCGCGCGCCGGCGCTCGTCGTCAAGCCGGGTTCGGGCCGAGCCGTGGGCCTCGCGCTCGGCCTCGAGCGCCGCCTCCAGCTGGGGAATCGATTCGAGTTGCCGCCCCATTTCGGCGTTGCGTGCACGCAGCGCGTTCACTAGCGACTGCAAGTGTCGGACTTGGGCCTGTGCCTCGTTGGCGGCGTGCCGACTCCCGCGGGTCTCGGTCGCCAGCTGCTTGCGGAGGAGCGCCACCGACTCGGCATGGGCGCGGCGAGCGGAGGCCATCGCCGCCTGGTTGGCCTCAGCTGCAGCTGCAAGCTCGGCGCGCAGTCTGCTGTTCTCAGCTTCCAAATCTTGAACATCTGCCCGAGCGGATGAAAGCTGGCCGCGGACGTCCTGGATGACCGGCCGCGCTCCTCGGCCAAGGTGCAGCAGGACCGGAGCGCCGGCCGAGTTGGCGGCCAGCAAGGCCTTGGAGACGTTCCCTGCGCCAAGGCGGTCGTCATCACCTCGGCCGACTAGCACCCTATCCAGCGCGTCATCGGCTGCGGCCCGGGCACTGTAGCCCGAGAGACCGGCAGTTGCCACCAGGTGCTTGGCGAGCGACGCGACGCCGCGTGCGCGCTCAGCGGCGGCGGCACGTTCAGCGGCAGCAGCGGCAGCGGCGTGCTCCGCTACGGCCGCATCCAGCACCACGCGCTCGGCGGCCAGCGCCTTGACCACTCGGCCAGCCCGCTGACTCGCTCGCAGCTCGTAGTCTGTACCGGCCAATGCTGCGCTGGCGGCATCAACCGCCCGCACTCGGCGGGCCGCTAGCTCGCCCCGGGCGAGTGCCTCGAGCCGAGCCGCATCGTACACAGCCAGCGCATGCTGGACCTCCAGCAAGCGCCCGAGGAGTGGAACATGATCCACTGCCACCGCTTCCAGTCCCCTTTCTCGTGCTACAGGCACCGCCTCTGCCGCTGGCGCCGTGCCGTCTTGCCCCACGCCGCCGCCGCCGCTCCGCGCCACCTGCCGTTCCGCCCCGCCTCCGTCGTCCGCTCCTGCAGCCTCCTCCGCCAAAAGCGCCACCAACTCGGCCTTGAGAGCCGCCGACATGTCAACCGCGGCACACTCTACGGTGGCGTCACGTGGTGCGTGTGCGTACTCACCACCACCGCCTACGGCGGCCATGCGAGCGAGCACCGAGAGCCGAGCGTCGAGCGCCAAGCGCCGAGCGCCGAGCGCCGAACGGCAAATGGCGACTAGCGTCACGGTAGACCACCACCCGCATTATCCCAAATTTTTGTATAGCCCCCCCCCCCCTCTCTCAATGCGCGACCCACACTCATCCGCGGTGCGGTTCCTTCGAACGAACGTTCGTTGGCGACATTGGCAAGCTGGCGAACAGCTGGCAGGCGCGGAAGAGACGGGAACAACGTGGAACCTTGGGGACAGCACACTCGACTCGCACACGACTCGGGTGGCGTAGGACGGAAAGACAGTATCAAGAACACATGTTGACAAGAGCATTTGGAGCTGTTGTCGGTATCAGGGCTGGAGTCCGGCTGGCGGTGACAACGGCGGGTGTGGCGGCGCGGGGCTGGCCCGCGGCGGGAGACGGTCGACCGGCGCGGAAGGTGGCGGAGATGGAGAGGGCATCGTTCTCGTCGACGGCGGTAGCAGGCGACGGCATGGTCGGCAAGGAGCAGCTCGAGTACTATCTGCATGTCCTCGACGAGATGGAGCGGGAGGCGACCGAGGCTGCCGAGCCTGGGACCCGGGTCAAGGCCCCGGCCTTTGACTTTAAGAAGCTCCAGGCTGCGCCCGTCGACTCGACCTTCTCGGTCCAGCTCAACTCGTTTGCCTTTCACATGGTCGATAGGTCGTCGGTCCGCGGGCCGCCGGCTCGTTCGCCGCTTAGCTCGACAGAGCTCGTTACCAAGGTCCTCGGCATCGCCGAAGACGTCGCTGTCCCCGGCGGCAGTCGCGGCTCGCAATGAGCGACCTCAACGCTCCCTTGCTTACTTACTCTTTCTCCCTATCTTCCTTCTTTCCGCGCTGCAGCCATCCAGACCACCAGGCACCGGCTCGGCCCCGTATTGCCGGGTCTGGATGCAGACACAGTCGCGCGCCTCCCCCCTCCCCTCCCTCGGTCGCCCCTCCCGCTCAGACGGATGCAGCGGCGGCCCACCACGCGGTCCCTTCTTTGATTGAATGTACTGACTGCCGATCACCATTCCCCTCCCCTCCCTTTCCCTCCACCACAACAGTCCATGCCGCGTTACAGCCTGATCTCGTGCGCGTTGTCGCGTCGCTCGACACCACCACCCCGCGGCACTTCCACTCCCCAGTCCCAATCCCAATGATCGACATCCTCGAAGTCCTCCCACACCCACATAAACAGCGACCAAGCTCATGACGAGAGTCCCTCCACCCCCGAGGAAGTCAACTTCGCCCTTTCCCCTTGCACCAGCCCGTCGTCCACCATCCCAATGCTGGCCTGCCAGCTTGGCCGCGACCCAGCGACCAATGGGCGGCCAAACTACGACCTCTTTCGGCTGCCAGTGGCTGGCGCGACCCCCCTCTCCCACCCCGCCCCCCGCCCCTCCCTAGGCAAGCCCACCTCCAGTCCAAGACCACGTGCTTGACGACACACTCCTCTTAGCTCTCTTTTCACCCAATACCAATGCTGCGGGCGCTGCGGAGCGTGCCAACGTTGCTGGCGTACGTCATAGCGAGAGGGAGGAGGAGGGGGAGGGGGGGGGGGGGGGGGGGCGGGGCTGGGGAGCTTCACGAACACTCACGCCAAGAGGACCATGGGATGGATGATGGCATGGGGTGGGTGATGGCATGGGCTGGACAGTACTGTGCCGACAAGATGGGGAAGAGTGGCTTCTGCGCGTGGAGCTGCGGTGGTGTGCGGAGGTAATGCGCCATGGATGGCGGTAGAGGCTCCGGGCGCCGGCTCGATCTTTGCCCGCTCATGGCGGGCGTCGAGCTCGGAGAGCGGCGATGGGAGCGGCGGCGAGGGCAAAGATACGCTGCCTGACTTTATCACACTGGACGGAGAGGCGGCGCGGGCGAAAGACGGGTCGGGCAAGAGCAAGGACGACGGCGGTGATGGCGGCGGAGCCGGGACAGCGGTCGGGTTCGAGGGCGTGCCGTCGTCGACGCTGCTGTTTCCGCTCTACCGGCGGCCGGTAGCGCCAGGTATTGTGACACCGATCTCGATCACGTCGATCAAGTTTGTGGAGGTGCTGAACAAGGTTGTGGAGAAGGGCGACAAGCACGTGGGTCTGTTCCTGGTCAAGGACCGCGAGGCGGCCGAAGCTGCAGCCAAGGGCAACGAGCTCTCACTGTCGTCGGCGATGAGCGTGAGCAACTCGCGGTACAATGTGACGGACATCGAGTCTGTGCACAAGGTCGGTATTCTGGCGCGGATTGTGCGGATCGACCCGTCACCGATGGGCGCGCACGTGCTGCTCGCCGGGCGGTCGCGGATCGAGATCACGTCGCCCAAGGAGGTGGACAAGAAGAACGGGCACTCGTTTGTCAACATCAAGGCGCTCCGTGACAAGGAGTATGACCAGCGGAACGACTCTGTGCGGGCGCATGCGGTGGAGATTGTGACGACGCTCCGCGAGATGCTGGCGCTCAACCCGATGTTCAAGGAGCAGCTGCAGACGCTTGTGGACCAGGTCGACATTGCCAATCCGTCCGAGCTGGCTGACTTTGCGGCGTGGCTCACGACATCGGATGCCGAGGAGCTGCAGGCAGTGCTGGAGGAGCTCGACGTCGAGGCGCGGCTTGCCAAGTCGCTCACGCTGCTCAAGGCCGAGCTCGAGCTGACCAAGCTCCAGAAGCAGATCCAGACGTCTCTGGAAGAGAAGATCTCCAAGAACCAGCGCAAGTACTTTCTCAATGAGCAGCTCAAGACGATCAAGAAGGAGCTTGGGCTGGAGACCGATGAGAAAGAGGCGCTGGCGGAGAAGTTCCGCTCGCGGCTGGAGAAGCTGCGTGTCCCGCCGCACGCGGCATCGGTAATCGACGATGAGATGGCCAAGCTTGCGACGCTTGAGCCGTCGTCGTCCGAGTACAACGTGACCCGCAACTACCTCGACTGGCTGACGCAGCTGCCGTGGGGCGTGTCGGCCGAGGAGAACCTGGACCTCAAGCGGGCGACGGTGGTGCTGGACAACGACCACTACGGGCTGAAGGATATCAAGGAGCGGATCCTCGAGTTTATTGCGGTCGGGGCGCTCAAGGGCACGGTGCAGGGCAAGATCCTGTGCTTTGTGGGCCCGCCGGGCGTGGGCAAGACCTCGATCGGCAAGTCGATTGCCAACTCGCTCAACCGCAAGTTCTTCCGGTTCTCTGTCGGCGGCATGACCGATGTGGCAGAGATCAAGGGCCACCGCAAGACGTACGTCGGAGCCATGGCCGGCAAGCTTATCCAGGCGCTCAAGACGACGGCAACGTCGAACCCGGTCATCATGATCGACGAGATCGACAAGATGGGCCGCGGGTGGCAGGGCGACCCGAGCTCAGCACTGCTCGAGGCGCTCGATCCGGAGCAGAACGACGCGTTCCTTGACCACTACGTCGACATCCCGTATGACATGTCCAAGGTTCTCTTTGTCTGCACCGCCAACTCACTTGACTCGATCCCAGGCCCGCTCCTCGACCGCATGGAGGTCCTGCGACTCTCGGGCTACGTCCTTCAGGAGAAGGTCGCCATTGTGCAAAAGTACCTCATCAAGCAGGCGTACAAGACCTCGGGCCTTCCGCATGGCACCGTCGACTTTACTGATGACGCCATCAAGGCGCTCATTGCCGACTACTGCCGCGAGGCCGGCGTCCGCAACCTGCAGAAGCACGTGGAGAAGATCTTCCGCAAGATCGCGTTCAAGATCCTCTCCGACAAGCCCGAGTTGGCCGGGCTGATCGAGGCCAAGGCCAAGGCCGAGGCTGAGGCCGCCGATGCCGCCGCCGCCGAGGCATCCGCCAAAGCACCCGTCGAGCCCGAGTTTGTTGATGTTGATGGCGAGGCCGAGGCCGGCCGCCGCTGAGGCCGAGGACGAGGCCGACGAGCGGTTCACGTGGAAGGAGCTGGTTGACGAGCCGATTGTGGTCTCGCCCGAGACCCTCGAAGAGTACGTGGGCAAGCCGGTGTACCAGCCGGACAACTTCTACGGCGACGCGGCGCCGCCTGGTGTTGTCATGGGCCTCGCGTGGACATCGCTCGGCGGGGCGACACTCTACATTGAGACTTCGGCGTTCTCGACCAAGAAGGCCGACTTTAAGATCACCGGCTCAATGGGCGACGTGATGAAGGAGTCGACCAAGATTGCGCAGTCGTACGCGACTCAGGTGCTCGCCAAGCTCGACCCGGACAACATGTTTATGGAGGAGTATGGAGTCCACATGCACATTCCCGAGGGGGCGACGCCAAAGGATGGCCCGTCGGCGGGTATCACCATGGTCACCTCGCTTCTCTCTGCGGCGTTCAACAAGCCGGTGGCGGCAGACCTTGCCATGACGGGTGAGATCTCGCTCACCGGCAAGGTTCTCCCCATCGGTGGCGTCAAGGAGAAGGCGCTCGCCGCGCGGCGGTCGGGCGTCTCCAACATCATCTTCCCGAAGGCCAACGAGAAGGACTGGGACGAGCTCGACGACTACGTCAAGGAGGGCCTCACTGCGCACTTTGCCACCGACTACGAGCAGGTGTACGCGTTGGCGTTCCCGGATGGTGTGGCGACGTGGCCTGGCGCCAGCAGCGCGTAAACGCACGAAAGCGGATGGTTTATCCCCAGCTAGTGGCGCTTGCCCTTGCTAGACGGGCGGCGCTTGCCCCTGGAGCTCTTAGAGCCGCGGCCGGACTTGCTCGACTTATCGCTCTTGAACTTCTTCTGGTTGCGGGTCGGAGTCTCGTCCTCGTCCTCGACGTAGCGGATGCGCTTGCCAGAGACGCCCGACTCGCGGAGCATGGCGTTTGCCACGGCCTGGGCCTCAACAACACGGTCCATAAGGAGCATGACCGAGGGCTCGTCGGTACGGTAAAGCTTCATCTTCTTGCCGACGAGGTTCTCGATGCGCTGGAAGATCTCGACGTCGTACTGGGTGACCATGGAGATGGCGACGCCGGTGCGGCCGGCGCGGGCAGTGCGGCCAACGCGGTGAACGTAGTCCTTGGAGCGGACGGGGAGCTGAGCGTTGATGACAAGATCCACGGTGGGAATGTCAAGGCCGCGCGAGGCAACGTCTGTGGCAACAAGGATGGACTTGGACTTGGACTTGAACTTGCCGAGGGCAGCAAAGCGCTTGGACTGGTTGAGCTTGCCGTGGAGGGCGACGACGCCAAAGCCCATCGAGCCGAGCATGAGGGCGAGGCGCTGGGCCTCCTTGCAGGTGGCGACAAAGACGATGGCGGAGCGGGCGCCAAACTCGTTGAGGATGTACGCGAGGTAGCAGTCGAGGAGCTGGGCCGGGAGGAAGACGTAGCGCTGATCAAGATTGTCGGGCGTGGCGTACTTGTTGGAGTACTCGACGCGGACCGGGTTGCGGAGCGAGGCACGCTGGAGCTTGGCGACCTTGGTGGTCATGGTAGCAGAGAAGAGGAACGAGGTACGGCTCTCCGAGTCCGGCACAGCCTTGAGGATCTCGTTGAGGGCCTCCTCAAAGTCTGCGTTGAGAATGCGATCGGCCTCGTCCATGACCAGGAACTTGAGCTTGGAGAGGGAGAAGCCGCGGGTCTGCTGGAGGTGATCGAGGAGGCGGCCAGGGGTAGCGACGAGGACGTGCGGCTTGCGGGCGAGCGTGCGAGCCTGCTCGGGCATGTCAGTGCCACCAACAACCAGGGCGACCTTGAGACCGACGTCTGTTCCCAGAGCGCGGAACTGCTCTGCGATCTGGAGGGCGAGTTCACGAGTCGGGGTGAGGACGAGGGCGTATGTACCCGGCATGCGCTCAGCATTGAGCAGCGAGTGAATGATGGGCAGAGCAAATGCACCAGTCTTGCCTGATCCCGTCTCTGCCAGACCGATGACGTCCTCTCCGCGCAGCGCAACAGGAATGGCCTGGGCCTGGATGCCGGTTGGCGCTGGCCAGCCGAGCGAGGTGCAGATGTCCACCAACTGGGGATGGAGGCCAACCGAGGCCCAGGAGGCTGCTTCCACAGACGACGACGCGGCCGCGTCCCCCCGCTCTTCTGAGGGGTTGTTGGAGTCAGACGAGGAAGACATGATGTTGTGTTGGGGCTGGGGTGGGTGGTGGCGGCGGGGGTGAGGTGTGGTTGAGGGATGGATGGATGGGGGTGATGGCCGAGGCGGGGGGAGGTGTTCGTGAATGATGGGGGGAGGGAGAGCTCTTCTCTCTCTCTCAA